TTTAACAGTATGGTTTCGGAAACGCGTGCCCGTAATGGGTTAACCAACTGGGAATAAAAATAGGTCATTCACTATAATGAATGATTATGCTTTACGATCCTCAAACGAACTCCGTAGCAAGGAGGACAACAGAAAAGATCAGCGCTGTGTTTGGCCCGGTCTCTGCTACTGATAGGGTACTGAGCTAGTGGTCCAATCGCAACGGCAAAGATGAAACGAGCTATGAACTTCAACCTCATGCTGGACCTGCGGTCATTTTAGATGAGCGCCCCTTGCACCCTAAATTGGTAGTGCCTCCGTACCTTGCTACCAGGGTATTGTAGCAGACACCTGAGCGCAGCCGATGCACCAGCACATGCCATCAGTATGGCAAGAACTGCTGCAGAATAAAGTCTTGATGGAAAGCTTGAGGTCCGGCCGACCATGAGCGAGAAGCACGTCTGACCATCTAGGAAAAATCCATTCTGGGACGGCAAAAGCAGAACCTTCCTTAGTCGGTCACTAGTGGAGATGAGTCATGAGTCCACTGCGACAACACTCCATGGCACGTCTGTTGGCTACCTCGCAGCAAGAAAGCACCAGCTCAACCAAAGCTCGAACTCCGTTTTCTGGGAATATCGTTCACGTTTTGTTGGATTTGCCAGGTGGCCTGGTTTGGGAACCACTTCAATGTATAAAGACAAGCATAGCTAAAGTCAGCGCAGGATAACTCCCTAGGCTGGCTTCGGGGTTGCGAAGGAATCGTAAGAAACGTCTCAGTTTCTCCTTTCTCCGAATGTACGCCAGACCCCACATTGCAATGCCAACTCATCACGTTCTGAGGGAGATAGCCAGGGCCACGATACCTCATCCACCATATAGCATTGGCATCGCTCTGTCAGACTATCGCCTCCCCTCCGCCCTGAATAAGCATCTGCCAGAGAAGAAAGTTAAAGATTGCGACCACCCCAAAAACGACTTCTCCAAATTCTTCAACCCCCAACTTCCTTCATTCCGTGCTCTAAGCTTGCAAACGCTCACTAGCAAATGCACGCATGTCAGTAACTATGATGGTGGTTATATCATTGATCAGTTGTTTCCTAGAAGAGATAAATCTTGGATAAACAAAAGTGTCGAAATTGCGACAAGAATTATGAGACAACCCAATAAAAAGTAAAAGTGAAATCAGTGCTCACATTTGAAAAGAGTCTGATTACCTTGACGGGGAAAAAAAGAAGCTTCACGCCTCTAAAGCATCCGGAAACTATCCTTGTTACTATCAAAAGCGATCTTTAGTCGCATATTATAATAAACCAGTTGGCGCCGCACACATTGCGCGCACAACACAGATCTGCGGCGAATTTTGATTGTGCGACGAAAATTTTCAAATTTGGCTCGATACACCACGAATATCTGAATTATCAGCTAAATTCTATCTGCTCCATCACCGACGGCTTTCAACCTCTTTTTCTTCGTCATCCATTATCCTCTTTTTCACGGTTTCCGGACTGCTTCCAGACAATAAACCTCGTGGCAAACTCCGCCTACTTCGGGCGTGCTCCGCCCACCACTAGCATTTGGCTCCTTTCCTTTCGCCGACCTCTAACCCTGTTTTCCCTAACTCTAGGACTTCTTGAGGCGGAGTTATGAATTTTCGTCGAAAACTCCGCCCACTTTGGTCAAGTACCGCCCGCTGATGAGAGTTGGCCTCTACTCTTCCACCCACCTCTGTCCATCTTTTTCCCTGATTCCGGGACTTCTCGGAGCCGAATTACAATTTCGGCGCAAACTCCTCCCACATTAGCGCACGTCCACCCACCCGTAGCAGTTGACTTATCTTTCTTTGCTGACCTCTATATACTTTTTCCCGTTCTCCAGGACTTCTTGGAACCAAGGCACGAATTTTCGTAGATTACTCCGCCCACCAGTATTCTAGCTCTTCTACTTCAACCACCCCCATGCACCTTTTCCCGGTCTCCCGGGCTTCTTGAAACCGAGTTACGAATTCGGGGGTAGCTCCGCCCACTTTGAACATGCCCCACCCAGTGATAGTATTTAAGCTCCACTCCTCCACCCACCTCCATCCACCTTTTTTCCGTGTCTCCGAGACTTCTTGGAGTCGAGTTATGAATTTTCGTCGCAAACTCTGCCGACTTTGGCCAAGCCCGCCCACCAATGGCAGCTGGACTCCGCTTCTCCACCCACCTTTTTCCGGGCCTCCGCGACTTCTTGGAGTCGAGTTATGAATTTCGTCGCAAACTTCGCCGACTTTGGCCAAGCCCCGCCCACCAATGCCAGCTGGCCTTTACTCCTCCATATACCTCTATCCACCTTTTTCCGGCTCTTTAATACTTCCCCAGCCCGAATTATGAGGAATTATTGTAGAAAGTGCTGTGCACTTCAGAGCGCGCCCCGTACATTCTGGTGGGCTCCGCCCACGTCATGTATGCAGGAAACACCTTAGACATTGCTCCCTTACACCTAACTGTTTTCTGTTCTGTATGCTTTCTCCCAACCGAGTTATGAAATTTTTCATAAAGCACTGCTTTTTTGGAGAACGCCCCGCCCACGGGGGTGGGTCTCCTTAATTCGATGTGACTGACCAATGCACACCTTTACCCACTTTTTGGCCCAGTTTCGAGGTCGTTTTGTCACTAAAACCGAAATCTTGGTCTTCGGTACAGTTCATTTCGACGCACGCCACGCCCTCTGTGGGCGGGGCTCCGCTTAGCTGATGTGTGTTTTGTATTCCGTGAGACCTTGCCCACCCATTACACACCTGACCCGGTCCCTCCAGGCGGATCCCAAGGAGCTAGGGAATTTCGGACAGACATACAGAAGACGGATGACAGACGACAGACGAAGCGCTTTATAGTAAGTAGGATATTTGCCGTCGATAGCGAAGCCTTCCAGTGAGAGTTTAATATGATCAAAAAATAGAGTTTCGTTCAGAAGCACTGAGATAGAGTAATTTTAGAGTGAATAAAAGGAAGTAGACCACAGCTGCCACGCGGTAAAAATAAATCTTTATCAATCGACTGACTAAACCTTCTCAGTCAGAGATAATCTGAAATTCTTCACTTCGATTGTGGAAAGAATAAAAAAATACAAATACAGTTGGGAAAGGAACTTCACTACGGCTTCTCGGCTAGAAGGCAAAATCACGTTTAATCAGAATAAGAGCTGAGCCGGAATGAAGAATTAGAATTGCTGCAGACTGTCGAACTATGTACGATCAACCCGAGTTAAGCAGACTGCCGTTTCACAGATACCCATAATTATTTATTGTATTGAAATAAATAATAAATATCAGGCACGCTGAAAACATTTTTGAACATTTTTCAACAAAATCTTCCTTCGATGTGGATACAGAATTTCTCACAACAGTTTTGCTTTAGCGACTACGCCTAAAGCGAGAAATTACGATAAAGTGCGAGTGTGGCAGGGAAGCAAATGCGTCGCTGGAAGTAGTAGTGGGCCGGAAAAGCAAGTGAGATATTGCGTTCACACAGGCAAAGGTGCGCTAGTTGCTGCGCACTAGGGCCGCTACCGTAGTCTGTGCTCCGCCCCGGCCTGTGCGTTGCCTCTCAATTTGGACGATGAAATGGCATGGTCAATGTGAGTAGCATCCTCGGTTAAAGTGCTCTGCCTTGGGTATTTGCAACTATTCATGCAATGTATAAATATATGTGGTATATCTGTGGTCACGCATATCATCTCAATATGAATTGGTGCGTGCGTCGATTGTAAAAGTGGTTTTTGATGCATATGCATATGCCGTATGATGCACGAAACAGTGAGAGATTTCGAGCGTTTTGAGAAATGCGTTACCTCAAATTGGCGAGAATGTGACCATTCTGTGCTTTAGGTAGCCTAGAAAACTCAGCTGGATAGTTCAGTCCGCAAAGGCCAATAAAATTAGGTACCGGATATGTTAGTGTCGCTTTTCCGAGTTCAGGGCGCTTGATCGTTTATCGTTGATGCAGAAACGCTTCACGAAGTGGAGTGCACAATAAATTCTAATAAATGTGCACATCTGCTACTCTCGTGTCGAAAAGGGTGTGTTCTTGACCCCATGTGGCAAAAAACACTCCGAGGAAAAATTCTCCAGTTGAGCCGGTATGTTTTGACTCTTCCATCACACAATGCAGACCCTACTCTAAATAACAGTACGCTTCTTTTGTCCAGGACTAACTTTTTAGATTGATTTAGATGTGTGGATAAGTTTACATTGTATATCAAGGTTAAATCCATATTTATCCATCTTATTCACCACAGCTAATCATATCCATGTCGCGATTCAGTGATCATTTGCGTAGGCTCCTGGGTTCTTCCTGCCAACCCGGTAGTTGTTGTGGGTGTTACGGCCACTCATGCCATACGAAATTCTTGAAAGCTTAGAAGAGATCGAATATAACAGGGATAGGTATAACATAAGAATGAGATTAGCTCAGACGGACAAATGATGAGGTAACAGTAGTGAAAGTAATACCTGACAACAGCTTGGTCGAGCAATCCTTCAAACGCCTTCTGCTCGATCGAAGCCGAAGCGAATCAATATTCACCATACAATGAAAATCACATTAAAAATTAAAGGAAAAAGTGCTTAACCTAGGTTGACTCCATTCCGGATAGTGCGCTTCTTATTGTTTCCCCATTAACAATTTCCGTCGGAACTGAGCCCTAGTGAGTTCAGTGGGCAACCCGCAAAAAACTTGGGATTAAGGAAAAGTATAAAAACTGAACGATTAATCAGATGCTCACCTTGCGGAGCGCTCCGAAGTGTTAGCTCATAGAAACCGCGGAGACACACATGTCGACGAGCTGCGCGAGTGATAGAAATTAGTAGAAGGAGATGACAAATGGCAACCAAGCGCATACTAAATCAAGGCGAAAACGTAGAGTAAACCAAAGGGTGCCAAACTTATGCAACCAACAACGAGCAATCATCACTTTTCTCTATGCTCTTTATTCAGAACATCTATGCTCGTTACGGTTTCTTTTTCTACATTTGAATCGATTTATTTGCTGGCTGCAAATCTATCGAAACGTACCAGGCGAGACAGTTCTGGGTCTTCTCTTTCTGTCTGAAGCTCTTCATCACGTGTTCGCTTCCACTCAAATCCAAAACCCGGTGTAGGCGCTGGATAACCTAACAAAGATTGTCTTTTGTTCACTTGAACTGCATCGTGTTGTCTAGAAAAGTATTGGTGATATAAAAAGTACAGAACCAGAGAAAAGATGAGAACTGTAGAACTACTTTACAAATACGAGTGTTACTTTGAAGCACCAGAGACTAACAAAAAAACCACGCTACGTAACTTACAACGCTTTGTATTTTTTCATGAGGAAAGACTTACGTAAGAACTTCATCGGTGTGCGATCCGAACTGAGCATGATGTCCATCCGATGAATAGAGCGATTACCTTACAACCATCGTCCCTATAAATGTCATCAGAAAATCGTAAAGTGAAGGGAAATTGGAAAAGACTTAAAGAATGGTGGCTGGAGATGACACCATACCTATTGTAATAGTAATTTTCTGAGATACTATGATGAAATTCACCAGGCAATGTTCGTTGCTTTGCTGGACCAGGACGAACAGATTTTGTTTTGTGGAACCGTAACGGGTTATGATACTCAGCCTGTAATAAAGGAAATCCACAAGGTCGTGCGTTTTCTTGGAGTAAGAAACCAAAGGGTGAGGTGAGGAGGGATGAAGCTGTAGAATGAAGTAATAAATGAATGATTAGTAAGGCTGACAAAACGGAAATAATGCAACATTCTGAGAGCAAGGAGCAAACAGGGAAACCAGTATCCAGGAAAGTTATAGGTGGCTGTGCTCAACTAGGACAGGATGCGAATTTCTGCTGTTAGCAAGGCGAGCGTTTCGCAAAAAAATACCTGCGATTCTCGCGCGGAACATTTGGCACTGTGAAAAACTGGAACGTCGCTTTCTAATCTGAAAACAAAGCCGGAATGAACCGCAACCAGAACTGGGTCAATGTTAGGTAACGCTGGGCGAGCTCAAGAGAGGGGAGAAACACAAGGATGGAAATAAATTGCACTTATGCTCCCCTAAATACCTTCTTCTTCCTAAACGAAAAAGAAACCGGAGCAGCGCGCATATGTAAAAAAAGGAAAATGAAACACATTTGAAAATGTAAAACTACCTTCCGTCAGCTGTTGGAAGCCCTGGAGACGGCGTGATTGGTAACCTGTCTACAACGAGCAGCTTACAGCGCACCCACCACCGAAATGGCGCCTCTGTAGGGTTCTGCAGTGATGCGCCCATTTCATTTCACATTTTGATTCCTAAATCATATCCTCTGCAGCCAAAAAGAGACACATGGAAAGCTTGAATATCTTCGAAATTCACAAGTAAGCTCACCAGCGTAGCTAAAACAATAAATTATAGCCTGTGGAGGAGCCCTCGGAATCAAGCTCACCTCACCTTGGCATGGAAATAATCTGAGCTTTATCCTTCACGAGCATAGATTCAGCAAACGAGATTCACGAACACTTTCTATAAGTTTTCAACAACATCAACAGTTACGGGTGTTTTTCAGAGTTTTTTTCCAAAGAAAAGTAAATTCCTCCAGCTTCAACAAGCGACTCTTTGTCGGCACACTCTCAACGGGAAAATTACAAATTCACCTGGAAGCAAACATAAATAGCGGCAACTTCGGAGGATGGAAAAAGCACTTGAAAGAAGAACTTACTAAGAACCTCACGTACACGCACAGCTGTTGATAGAATCAAGTCAGAGCATTGCTAGTAGAAGTAATGGAGAGCAAGTGAAGAAGAACGAAAATAAAGTCGCTATTGCTTGTCCCATACCACATCACCTTAACAAAAATCACATTTTAAAAATTCGGAAACAAGGAATCGCAGTAGGAAAAAGAGTAAAATTGTATTTGCTAATTCTTCATGAAAACTGTAAAATTATAATTGTTATAATTGGATGATATAAGTATATATCTTAGAATGTCTTCCGAGCAACCAGGTACGTCATGTCCCGTGGCCATCGAAAAGACGCAGCTTTGGTGGGAAAGGTGTTGAAAAAGCATCGCGCTCAGGAAGAAAAGATTCGAAAGGAGCGCTACAGAAAGTACTAATGATGTTAATGGCGTATCATGAACAATTTTTATACCTTATGAAACATCTGTGCTTCAGTATACGCTATCTTCTTGGACGAGCCCTTTCACCTACAAGGATTTTGAATGCGAAGTGGTGCTTATGTGGGTCGTGCGTGGTATTCACAACGACGCACGACAACGTGTGCTGTCGGGAGTTGGTGGAGGAAGGAAGTGGAGTGGGAGGGGGGGAATCGCCAGCGGCGAGAGATAGCCCAACGTTTGAGTGAGAGGTTCAGCAATGTTGTCGGGCAGTGTCTTGTCCAACACCCTTTATTTCATAAGGTGGTGTTGCAGAGGTGAACATCTGAAGTTTAGTCGTTAGATGCGTTCGTCACTCTATCATATTCCTTTGCTTTAGGTGCTCTCTGTATGGGTAGAAGCGCGGCGGTATGAGCGAAGCAAGGAGAAATTGGCAACTATTAACGAAGAAATCAACAGGCGAATCATTCGACAACATATCTTCATAGAACAGGCAGGATACATTAGTTTAGGATATACCGCTACTACGCGTACAGGTCATTCGTGACTTGGGGGTACGGGCACTTAGGCCTGGGCAACCGCTACGAATTGCCCTCTTGTGTGAGGGCTGCCATCATAGAGGCGTATACTTCACGTGACGGCCAATATGTGGAGTTCAGGGTTAGTTGTAACAACGATCTTCAGATCTTGGAAATCCCGTGATTTTTTATGTTTAGCAATTGTCGATCTCTCATCGAGGCCGGGAAGCTTGCATGGAATGTGATGATGAAGAGTGGAGGGATGGAAACTTCTGATGTGTATCGGAGTAATTATTTTTATTGTAGCTCTTATTATATGAGATGAGAAAGTGTTTCTGCGATGTCTCATGTACATATAACTAAGAACGTACTCTCGTTCAACATCATCATCGCCACTGTCATGACGTCCACCACTGTATTTGCAGAGCCTTCGTTTGAGTACATCTCGGAAGTTGTATCCATGTATGCTCTGCGGGACACTTCAACACTTGTGTCGACTTCCTAGCGAGGAACTTCCTCTGCACTTGATATATCCCACCACGTCCCGCTCTCCTGTGTCCTCCGCCAATCTGAGCGTATTCATGTGCATGATGGACATCATGCAGTAGAGAGTGTAGGTATGCTTAGGGCTAAAAAAAGCGAACTAAAGATGTCTGCAATTTGAGTTTTGTAGAATTTTCAGTATTTTTAAAACCTACAAGTACTTCTCCTTGCTGCAATATATTCTGTCCAAAGAATTTTTGGACTCGCAAATAGAAGTACCCCCGAACGGACTGGCTTTAGCTAAGTCTCGTTAGAAAGACGGGGCTAAAGCCACCTCCCTCAACCTCTCGTAAGCCCTGCTATCGAGGGTGAGATAGTGTGAGGTCGGTCCATCTGAGGAGTCATGCCTACACCTGACAAACGGTCCAGTCAATTCCTCCTGAATTACATCCGTGTACGCCATGAGCATTACCAATTATACGTGTTGAATCACACCTGGGGCCATTCGTGTATGTTCCGGATGTGGCAGGTGTTGAAAATTTCCCCTATGAGACCTTCTTCAGCCCCCTTTCCGATGGAGCACCACAAGTGCGACTTTAAGGTCCCAGTCCACATACTTATCGGGGCGAATCGCCTACTTTTGGAGACCTGTAATTCGCAAGATCTTGTCGTTCACCTCACGAAGGACTCCGCTCCACTCAACTCCCGAAGTTTATTTCCTAGCCATTTCGCCAAATGCCATCTGTCATAGTAATGACGGATGGTCCCAATTTCGGGCTTCATCTGTTTCACCAAAGCACCAAGAGCCTTGCTACGATCAGTTGTCAGGGTAGCCGCAGGCACACCCGACAACTTCAGAAATCGAAGCCCTCTACGGAGACCTTCAATCTCCATCCTTCCACTTATACCCTCTAAAGAGACAAAGTTCGATGGCGTCATTACCTCGCAATTTTGTAATTTTGACGTCAGCACCAGTTTCGGAGCGGTGAAGTACTTCAGTGTGCACCACTAACTTCGCACGCGTATCAATGAACACGGCTTTCCCGAAACGTTGAGAAGCCGCGACTATCGAAGGCACCGTCCGCTGCCAAATGCAGCTAAACTCCCCTCTGAATTAGAGATTTAGCAGTCGAGCATCTGCACTAGTGTGGGAATGTTGCATTTCGTCAACCTACCCCGTATCTCGCGCGCACCTCATCCACAATGAACCTCTGATGGCACTGATAAACGTGCTCAATAGCAGGTTTTGTCCACTTGAATATCTTTCTATAGAAAGACCTCGAAAATATGGCCATTCTCAATTCCTGCGCCCATCGTTGTAGCTCCTGAACGTGTGTTCTTCATGCCACCCAGACATGACTAATAATTTCATGACTTACAGCGTAGCCCAGTCCGGTAGTTATAGCAGCAACGAAGGCGGCTACGTTCCCCCTCAGAGTCTTTTCTTTAGAATGAGAGACACTGCGCTCTTGACTCTCCCATCGTTTCACGCATGGAGTGAAAGGGTCGCATCGTTTGCAAACGAATTTTACAAGCGAAGCAGCGCCCACGCCTACAAGCTCCGTTCCACTCAGTCTATGTCCACATTAAGGACAAAACTGGAACAGCTGCATCAATAGCAGCCCTTTCACAAGTAAATACTGATCGAGTACAGCTGGTAGTGGCCCGGAACAAGGGCTCATAGGTGGACGAACTCGTCGAAGAGGAATCGGAATCCTCGGAAGATTGGTCGGGAGACCAGTTGGACACATTGTCGGCCTCTGAGTCGTGAGCACTCTGAACATTCACTTATTCTATAACTATAATCCAACTCCCATTACAACCAACCACTTCTGAGCAAGAATCGGTCGAGTCCTTATCTACCTCCTCCGCCGCGGATTCCTGAGCGTCTCCTGGCACATTCGTGGGTTCCCTTGAAGCTTCATCGTTATCAGCGCCAAGATGCATCACATCAACCTGCACCGAGGATTCAGAAAACACGCTTTGGCGACAATCTCCATACCTCTTCAGCGACTGGCCATATGGCCGTTGAATAGTAACGTTCAAGTGCATCGTTGAGAAACCTGCTCACATCACGTGGTGTGATCAGAACACTTCCATAAACACTGAGTCACTGATGCTGTCCAACATCGAAGGATGAAGTGATCCCCAGTAAATTGGAAGTCCTACTTCTGCCACACTGTTCAAGACATCCACCATATGACTAGGTATGTCTCCGTCCGTCACAAACGCTGTCCGGCCATCAGCAGCAGGATCACGAAAATGGGAAACCCTTCCTCCGGCTAACGCCATTTCCGCCAAAAAGTATAGAGCCTGTTCACACGGATGTCTACTAACTTTGCCCACGAACAGGTCATATGTATTCCACTTAGCGCATGTAGGACGTGAACATGGCAAATTTTTAACTTCGGTCTAGTTATGGACTCAGCAAAAGCACATGCGCTCTCACTGTCCTGTTGACCAGCCATTGATAAGGACAGCAACAGGATCATGTTCGTACTTTTGACCATCAAAGTGTACCTCCCTTCCGTATTTTCCAATACATGCCCACAGATAACGCACTTCATTTTGAAAAACGCTCTGAAATGCTGCCTACTCCTTCAGTCTAAACGCTGCTCCAACTGTCACAACAAAGTCATCCTTGGATAACCGTGGGTAAAGTTGACTCTAATACTGGCAGCAATCCTTTAGTGGGCATCACATGTGGTAGATGGAATATGTGCCTCATCCAGTAAGGGTGTGGGGCGATGATCGCTGTCGCATACAAATTTCAACTTTTGCGAGGAAAGCTAAACCCGCACTCCGCCGAACGCCGAAGCGAACCTTCTGCACCAACCTTGACCCACTACGTTCTTTGTAGCTTGAAAGATCCTAATTAGAGGTGATGAAGAAGGAAGCTCAAAAAAGGTTCCAGAAAAAATGATGTAATAGCTACGTAAGGCAGCGTGTAAATGGGCTGACTAAATGCCTAGGTAAGACAATGTGAGAAATACTTGGCAAAATATGTTTCACACCTTACCCTTTTTCCTTGGATTTTTTATAGCATTAAATGTAAAGTGATTCACTAATTATGGGACAACCTAACATTATCCAATAGTCTCAAACTGTTAAAAAGCCTCTTCTAAACACACCGACGACAATGCGCGTTTTGGCTTTTTCGGCCACGTAGGACAGGAACGATCTTGCGAGCGCGGCCGCCACACTTAGCAGTAGTAAATATTAAATGACATTTCTGGATAGTTTCGATGTGAATGTGCCGAATGAAACACATATCTTTCTATCACTTTGAATATGTTTTTATTTTCGCTACCCGTTCTCACTGTCATGTTCATGAGAATAGGGAGAAAAAGAACGAACCAAACTGCAAATTCCGCTGTGCTCAAAAAACTTCTTTTAAATTAAAGCATATTCGACCATACCGTGGCCCTTTTCGTTTACAGTCATGTTATGTTGTTATCCACAGAATAGAGACAAGCACATAGCGAACAATCCACGCATACGCTAGAAAAAGGGATGACAAGGGTGAGACGTGCAACCGCGTCTCAATGCGCGCACTTACTGTACACAATAAATGAATGAAATGGGAATGCCCCTCTTCCTACCTGAATAAGACCGTTGAATGTGTTCCAGAGCAAACATGTGCCAACTAATTAAAGGGAGCAGGAACGGAGAAATAGTTGCTAACACCAGCACTGTACAGGATGGGACTGGCCTGAGTGGCGGTTATGGGACATGGAATGCCATGACAACTGCATGATCTATAGTAGCAGTCAATAGTGTTCGTCGAAACGCTTTTTCGGGGTTCTATTTTCTTTTAGCAGAAAAAGTCAAAGGTGATCCCGAAACTTTGCTCTCGAGTATTTTGAATATTTAACTCTAAAGGACATAACACCACTAGAAAGCATAGCACGTCAATATTCAGAGCGCATTACTCTAATGAGAGAAAATAATGCATGAAAAATGATTTCGACGATCACTTCTCACCGCTATTCGATCATGTCAGCGACAACTTATTTCAACAAGATCTTGAAGTTGTCGCTTTCAATTTAATTGCGTTCAAAATTACGGAGTCGAATTTCTCAAAAAGAAACATCGAAGCAGTAAACTTATAAGAAATCCAATAAGGAATAGTGAAAGGAAAAATATCAGTTACAAATTAGAACTGGAAAATTATAAGTAAAAATAACACTTTATGTTTGGGAAACTCGCCCCTTGATAATGTGCCACGCGGTACCAATGAATTCTTTTATTTAGTATTCTAATATCAGAATAAGACCAGTAGAGTCGAGCAGCTCCGTCTCGTCCGCAGTCCACAATGGTATTGAAGGCCTCGTAGCGAGCTGATGAGGGTATTGCCGATGTCTGGCCGAGGGGTCAGGCAGTGGATCCTCCTCTAGTAAAAGAGGCCTGAACGGAAGAACTGTATCACTGGATTAGAATAGAAATCGAATACTCACTACTAGCCTGGAATCAACGGTTCCGGTCCTGCTAGCAGCCACGGGACAATCGTTCCTAGTGTCGGAGGACATAGAAATCGGGGCTCGCAGCAGCGGGCAGTCAAGCGATACCGAGTGTCGCGGATGCGATGGGGGCCCGTGGGCGCACCGTGCGCCCTGGCCCATTCGCGCTCGGATGCCAATGCGCAATGCGCTCTTTGCGCCAATGGCTCCGCCCCCTACGGTCAGTGCCAGCCGGGCAGTCGTCGTGTGTGCCTTACGGCGAGCGGTGACCTGCCTTGCCTCGGACGTCCCCTATGTCTACCTAGCTGTCAGGTGAGTGTATTTGGCGTTGAGCCCCCTAGCAGTTGAGGTGCTAATAATGAAATGTCTAATACGTGTCCCAGGGCTGGCATTTAGGGGTTGGTCGGTGTTGACCGGGCAACGCGAGGAGGCACTGGAAGGCGAGGAGGGATGTCCCCTCTGAGCCCGAAGGTTGCGGAGCGCCACCCGTAACTGGTCGTGGTCCCTCCCCTGCTCCCCGTCTGGGAGCAACCTGGTATCACGCCCCGTCTCGGACCCGCTGATCGTGCGGGCCCTTAGAAGTGTAACATCCGAGCGGGATGGGGGTCTACTACGTATAGCCAGCTGGTCTGGTCTACCCTTGAGCGCGGTGGCCAAGGGAGATCAGAGGTGATGGTGAGTTATTGCGTATAATAAATATGTATTGTTCTTATGTTGTATTTATGCTCATGTGGGTTTTGCCCTAACTCTATGTGCTCATAAGGTATGTTGGTTGCGCCATGGTTGGCAAGGGTTTGGCGCCCTTGGTTCTGACCCGGGAGCTGCGGGAGGCAGTCGGGACCCGTTAGGAACCCCATGGTCCCCGAGGGGTTGGTCCACCTCTCCTGCGGGGTGCGCAAGGGATTGGGTTCGTAGTCCGGCAGAACTGTGGCAACCTGCCAGCTAGGAGCCCGTTGGCCAAAATCCCTTCCCTGGGACCAGGATGCCTGGGGAGGTCCGGAGTGGGACTCCACGGAATCACTCGAGCACGCTCGCCGCGGGTTTCTTCCGATGAAGCCCCCGAGAGCGGGAGGGCCAGGAAGGACCCAGCTCCTAGTGGTTCAGTTTATGAGGAGTATGCGGGCGAGAGCCGTCGTCACACTGACGGATGGTAAAGCCGTACATGCCTTCAAGTGGGGAAGGTGGGACGTTGACGACGCGTGAGCGTGTGTGCTCAGGGCCTACACCATGGTACCGTGGGTAGGCTGCTCCAGAAGAGTAGCTCGAGGGAGCCCGGGGAGCCCCATGAAGGGCTTATCTGGACTGTTTCTGTACCCAGCGCCCTCTAAAAGGTAAACCATCAATCCGTATCAATCCCTTGGAAAAGGCAGGTAAAGTTTACTTGGGAACTATGGCATACCCACAGGTAGTGCAGTGTAGTGTAGCTGTCTTTCTTTTCTCCTTCTTTTCTCTTTTATTTTCCTTTTCTTTCTGTTTCGCTCTTTTTCCTTCTTCTTCTTCCTCTGGTAGTTCTTTCCGTAGCTATACTAGGGTTAGTCTCTTAGTCTATAATTTTTCACTCTTTTTATTACGTCATTTCCATGTGTAATTCGTTTTTCACCCTTTATTACGTCTTTGTACTGATATTCCGTTTTTGGAAACTTTTCATGTTTCCTTGAAGGTACTACGTATTTTTCTCCTACTACGTTGTTCTCTCATTCATACTCCGTTTTCGCGATCGATGAGCCGATGTGCGTGACTTTCTCACGCCGAACGGATCGATAGCGGTGCATCGAGCACTTTCCCAGGCTCGCGCGCAGCGATCGATTCATGCTGACGCGAGAAAGTACACTTTCTCATGCGCGCTCATGGGAACGCTGAGAAATAGTACGTTGCTAGACATTACCGTACTACGTGTTCCAGGGGAACGGCACCGAAAGTAGTATGTCAATCAATATTCTCATATTTGACGACATCGACCTTCGGTACTATGGAATTACTACGTGAATGCGAAGCTCTACTTGTATTACCCAGCTGCTGTCGCCGAAGATCGCGGAGCTTCCAAGCTTCACAGGTCTGAGGCAACAGGACAGGACGTCAGCACCTTCATATATTGCGTCTCTGCTACGTACTGCGTCTTCCTTCTTTCCTCATATCTGTTTGATGCGCTCGTTGAACTCACGTTTAACCCGCGCACGCAGACAACGAGGAACTATAAGGAGATATTGCGTAATGTAGCAACAATGTTGCGCCGTGCCCACGATTAATGCCGTAGAGATGCGCAACAACTGAAACTACAGTCAAGCATCTGGCTCCGGCTGAGGCCACTTCTCTGTGTTGGTGGGAGGCTGGACCCCAAGGGTCCAGATCGAAGCCGGCGGGGGAGTACACAGCCTCAGCAGGTGAGAGCTCCACGCTAATTCGTTGTGGGTAGTAGAGACTCTCCATTAATGCGTCTTTTGTTGAAAACTTCCATGCTCATTGGTTGCATTCCTTCCTTGCGAGCCCACCTCTCTCTGTTGGTGGGGAGGCTGGACCCCAAGGGTCCAGTTCAAGAGCCGGCGGGGGAACATGCAACATGAGCAAGGAAGTTTCTAGGATAATACGTTGTGGGTAGTATATATTCCCCACTAGTCCGTTTTGGGAAGTAAACATTCCCCACTAATGCGTTTGGGTAGTAGTCATTCCCCATTAGTACATTGTGAGTAGTAGCAATCCTCACTATTACGTCGGGGGGAAACAAAAGTTAATACGTTGCCAGAGTGGTCTCATCCCTGGCTATTGCGTTCATGGGGTAAATCATCAGGTAAGTTGCAGCAGGTAAGTTTGGTTTTCAGAGTGCTCTTGCCTGTG